CTTGTATGAATGAAGAAGCGCAAGGAAAATAGGGGACAGGGAAAAGTGTATAAAAGAGGGGGAATGGATAGGACAGAACTGGGTAATCGAAAGGGAGTGAGAGAGAAATCTGGCAGAGATGAAGGGAAGACAGATAGAAAGATTTTTGGATGAGAATTTAAGAACGTTATGTAAAAGAAAGTCAACTAAGGTGTAAAAAAAATTAAGTGGACAAAAGATAAGGCTATAAACAAATTTCAAAAATTATTCATGAAATTTGGCACGAAGGAGGGGGGAGGAGAAGGGGAAGTGGCCAGTAGGGGGGGGTGGAGCAAAATAATGCAGCGCGCCGGCCAAGACGTTACCACAGCATGGCAACATGACATAAGCGTAAATATTCTGCTGAATTTGCCACGTTGCATGGCAATTTGGGGGAAATTTACGGTCCAGACACGAGATTTATGGAGTTCAGGATCTCCCGTGGCGGCGCCTAAATGTGGACGGTGAAAACTGCTTAGTTTGGAAGGAACGTGTGAGTGTGTGTGTGTGTGTGTGTGCGTGTACGTGCGTGCGTGTGTGTGTGTGTGTGTGTGTGTGTGTGTGTGTGTGTGTGTGTGTGTGTGTGTGTGTGTGTGTGTGTGTGTGTGTGCATGGCAAGGTTCCTATGCAGATTGGTATTAGTAGCATTAATATGATTTATTAGTCTGTGATAGTGACCTAGAAATAAATGCAATGTAATCAAGGTTATATTGCTACAGATATTACTACTACTTAGATATATGTCTATCTATCTGTTATGTATATGATATATGTATATATATATATATATACTTATATATATATATATATATATATATATATATATATATATATATATATATATATATATATATATATATATATATATGTATGTGTATGTGTGTGTGTGTGTGTGTGTGTGTGTGTGTGTGTGTAAATAATATATGTATATATCTACTTAAATATATATATATATATATATATATATATATATATATATATATATATATATATATACATAAACATATTTATGTATATATATATATATATATATATATATATATATATATATATATATATATATATACATATATATATATATATATATATATATATATATATATATATATATATATTCAAGTAGATATATACATATATTATTTACACACACACACACACACACACACACACACACACACACACACACACACACACACACACATATATATATATATATATATATATATATATATACATATATATATATATATATATATATATATATATATATATATATATATATATATATATGTATACATATATACTATATGTACTGTATAGCAAGTAGATATGTATGTATTAGGCATATTTTTTTTCTGATATTTCTCCGGTAGCTGTATTATTAAGCTTCCCACGCGACACCAGTTAGCCGAGAGCATTAACAATCAGTGGTTAGATCAAAACATGTCTAACAGAAGAAGCGATATTACTGAAGTAGTTGGGACCGATCTGTGTGTGTGTGTGCGTGTTTTTGTGTGTATATGTGTGTGTGTGTATGTGTGTGTGCGTGTGTGTGTGTGTGTGTGTGTGTGTGTGTGTGTGTGTGTGTGTGTGTGTGTGTGTGTGTGTGTGTGTGTGTGTGTGTGTGTGTGTGTGTTCGTGCGTGTGTGTGTGCATGAGCGTGTGTGCGGGTCTTGTGACTTCATGGAATAAATCTACGGACCCCGTTTCAATCTAATTAATATTTAAATGAAATAGGCTTTTGTAAAACTTCCCTCGCATTCCCATCAGTGAAGCTGATTATGGAGATATATATATCAATCTTGATTATACGCCAATTATGAATTATAATGATAATTAGCATATAATTAGGAAAATGTACAAGCTTAGCCATCGCACAGTTATTATGATCAAGATAGCGAATTGTTAATAATGGTGATATAGTAATAATAAAGCATATGGCAATAATATCACCAGCGATGGAAATAGTGATAATAAAAAAAATGAAAATAAGACTAATTAAGTAGAAAGATGAATAACACTAGACATAAAAATGATAATGATGATGACAATAATAATAACAATAATGACAAAAATAATAATGATAATAACAATTATAACACAGATAATAATGATAATGACAATACTACTACTACTACTACTACTACTAATAATAATAATAATAATAATGATAACAAGAACAACAATAATAATAATAATGATAATAATAATGATAATTATAATAATCAATAATAATGATAATAGCAATATTGACATTGCCAATAATGACAACAATAAATAGATGAAGAAATAAACGTCAGAGGGAGTACGATCATTAATCAGGTATGATACTGAGGGACAAACACTCGGAATTGCGAAGCCCCGAGACCGTGTTCGACCTATCGACTTCTCTCCTTTTTATGCCGTGTTGTCTCTCCTTCTCCCTTCAAAATATGTCAAAGGCTATCTTGTTTAGGTAGGAATAACTGTCCTTGAACGCAGTGAAAGTCCTCGACCCGTTTCCAAGGAGTACCAAGTAAAACCGGCCGGGATGAGGGAGGGACATTACTTCGCTTCGGTGGCTGTCGCTGTGAAAAAAGCACCGACT